ATTTTATGACTTTTTCTCGTAATTTTATGGCTTTATTTTCATAATATTACTTTGTCCTAGCCTGGCCCTAATACTCCTTCGTACTGCTATTATACATGGCATTCTAAGGTATTTTAGACTAAACATAGATGTTCGATCACCTTAGATAGATATCAGCCTGAAATGGAATAAAAGTTTAAAATGCATGGGCAGATTGTGCTGGAGTATAATATTCTTTACAAGTGTATCTTCCGTGCCCCTGGAAACACGAGGCAGATACTCAACAGTTGCTGGGCTTATTAGAATAATCAGTCTTCATTAACAGATGGTTGTAGCACTCTCTGTGGGATCAGAGAAGATGGGTGTCTCGCTACAGTATGTTCTTTAGACTTGCTCTGCTGCCCTTTCTGCACTAACAATTTCATCCGACTTATTTTCTCCTAAAGTATGTAAGTGAAGTTTAAGCTGAGTTTTAGTTTTGCAAGCTGTTTGACGTCCCCCTGCTTCATGCATACCTTAATAAAAATAAACTAAGCAGAAGAAAATGTTTATATGCTGCTAAAACCATGCTGAATCCTTCAATCTATTTTAAAAAAGTAAGTGTAAAGCTCCTCCTACAGGTTGGAATGATTTTTTCAGGGGTCTATAATTGCATAAAACCAGCTTAAGCACCCCAGGTTTGTTTTTGTTGGGTTGAAGGGGAAGACGGGGGGTATGTGTAAATGCTTACATACAGGCTTGTGTGCGTAAATGCTGCTGTGTGCTGTTTTTGAACCGAGCTGCTGGAGATGGCATTTTAGAATGCATGGCAGAGCGCTTTCCCTGTCTATGCTTTTCTTTTCCATTTTTTTCCCACCTTCTTCCTCCCACATGTAGGGTTGACTCCTGTCATGCTCGACTGCTCAGTCTTTTCGCGGGGCTCTGTGTGTATCTGTGTGTATCATGGGTATTTTGTGTGTATTGAATGTGGGGCTTATCTCATTTGGGCTCTAGCTGTCTATATATAGAGTCCTGGAAAAGTATTCCTCCCCCTTGACGGTTCTGACATTTTGTCACATTATAACCACAAACTTCTATGCATTTTTTTGCTGTTTTTTTTAGCAAGACTTAATACTAATAATTTAAGTTTATTGATCTCACATTGAAGAAATTTACCTCTGCATTTAACCCATCCCCTTGGGTAGCAGTGGGCTGCCATTGTGCGGCACCTGGGGAGCAGTGTGGGCTTAAGGGACCCACAGTGGCAGTCTGTGGGAGTGGGGCTCGAGCTCAGAAACTCTGGATTCCAAGCTCTATGCCCTAACCACTACTCCTTTACTCTCCTGACTTAAACAAAGTGGGTTTTATTTGTGAAATAAAGCAAGTATTAGCTTTAGGATAATTTACGATATTCAGGTGAGGTT